GGGATTCGAACATGTTTAACGTACGAAACCAACAACCTCCCATGATTCAATGATTACAAGTTGAATCTCAGAGAGGAAAACCAACTTATGCACAGTTATCCTGCTCCAGGGGAAGGTTAAACTCCTTGCACAGTTGGAAAACTCAAGGTTTCTGGACACTCACTACTTCCCTAACCTTAATTCACTTTCCTGCCCCTCCTTTCCTGAGCCTCAGTTTCCTCCTGTGAATAATCAGACGTTGCCATTAACTGAGCTTTTAGTGTGCAATAAGCACTCAGCCTCACCACCTAGTTGTCTGTCCTCCGCCCCTCGGGGATGTCGGAGATATTTGGAGCTTTGATCCTTGCAGGGGTGTACAGAGATCTGTGAGCGGAGACATGCAGAGGTCTGAGCTCCTTGTCTGCACCTGGCAGCCACCCAGCAAAGGATTCTCTTTTGTCCTTACAGGTCCCCGCTCACATTTAAATGCAAGGGCAGAGGCCAGCCCGTGACGAGGACCTCAGTCATCTTCCTCCAAAGCCATTGTGAACACACGTGAGTCGGGACAGTGTCTCACTCCTTAGGAAATGAAAGGCAAGAGACGAATGTAAGTCTTCCAGATTTCTTACTGGAGCAAATCTCCTCGGTAGTAGACTGGATGAGTGCGCTGTAACCCAGACCCTCTTCCTACAGCCTGTGGACGAGATGAGAGCAGGGGCCAGAACCATGCAAAAATCTTGTCCTATTTGTTTAATTTTGTTTGGGTGGGACTGGGGCGCTCTACTGCTTGAGCCTCGCTTCCAGTCAACCTTGTCCTAGTCGTTAGTATTATTCTGATCAATTTTTTTTATTGTCCATTCTTTGGCCAAATCACACATTCACTTACCATTTATTGAGCACTTACTATTTGGCAGGCATTGTTCTAGGAGTATCAAGGAGTTCCAATCTCGGGCTACACACGTTTTGCACAATTGTGTCTTTGATTCAGCCATGACTGGAACCTGAGACCAGTCCCCCCTCCTTGTGAGGAACAAGTCCAACTCCCAGCATGCAGTAGGTGCTTAAACATTGATGACTGAGCTTAGCTAAACTACACATAGAAGAATTGCACTGAGTCACCCGAGACAGGAATGGAAGGTGTGAATGCGGGTTGGGGAAGAACGGGGAGGGCTCTGACTTCAAGAATTCCGCCAAGTTCATGACTGGGTGTGTCGTGGGCATTCTGCAGACGCTCTGACACACACTTCTCAGATGGGAGAAACTGGAGCACAGAAGCTCAACTTGGCCCTGCTCACGTTTATGCCTAAGTCTGGCTCAGCTCTGGGGGAGGGCCTGTTTTTATTTGCTGTCGGTTTGGTTTGATTTTCACTGTATCGACTTCCCTGGAAGGGAAGGGGCCTCTCAGGTGAACGGCAAGGAACCCCAGATCAGGCCTGGCTTACATTCTCATAACTTACTCATGTTACCATCCCTGGATCCCACTGCACAGGCTACCTCATTGTGTAAAAGTCCCTTCAAGAATCCTGGTGGACCGACCTCCAATCATTCTGACTTCCCCCAGCATGAGCCCCTCCCCAGCATAACAGCCAGGAATTCCCTAAAGTGAGTGACCCCAAACGCACGAAAGGCACAAAGGCACACAAAGGCAGAAAATAATAGCTTTCCTTCATTTCGCCTAACGCCCCTGATGCAGCGCCGTAAAGCATTTGATTTAGGATATTAAAAACCGCTGGTGATGAGAATGTCATGTAATATTTGCTTTGCGACTTCTTTCTTCTCACACTGTCATTAAAAATGATTTATAGATGTGCCCAGGCCTACACAGAGGTAGGGAAGGGGCTGGGGACTGAGTTTCCAGGGCAGCCTGGACCTGTGATGTGTGTGAGACCCTCCAGCTCGGTGTTTCGAAGGTAAAGAACATGTGTCCCCAGCTCAGACAGAAACAATGATACCTTGTCAGATGGTGAATCGGTCAGCTGCAAGAGGGGGATTGCAGTCACACGCCTTCCCCAAGATTTTGTCCAATGTCAGCAGACAAGACTTGGAACGGGTGCTGTCAGAGTTGTTCACAGCTACACAAAAGCTGGCTTGGTTTAACATTTATTTTGTGCCTGGTAGGAGAGAGAGAGCAAAACCAGAGGAGACCAACGCTGCTGTGATCCTTTGTATTCTACAGCTTAGTAAACTGAGGCTCAGAAAAGGATCGCATTTCGTCATTGTCACACAGCCAGAGCGCAACAGCACAGAGCCAGAATTTGTACCAGGGCAGCTGGGCTCCAGAGCCCTTGTGCTTGTTATTTTGTCTTTTCTTTTTTTTTTGGTGCTGGGATCGAACCCAGGGCCTCACGCATGCTAGGCAAGCGCTGTACCACCAAGCTACATCCCAGCCCCTCCTTGTGCTTGTTAAACCTCTATCCCATACTGAATCATACATCTGATTTAAAGTGACTCCTGGTAACTACCTCTCTGTGTCTGTCTACACATATCTCCCCCCACAAAAAATGCTGCCATGAATTACGGTCCTCCTGCAGGCCAGACACCCTTCAGGATGCATGCTGTGAGTTATACTCAGTCCTCCTCTAGAACCTTGCAGACTTGGATGCACTTCACCTTGCTGCAGAAACGTGAGTTCCAGGGACACCCAACTGGCACGTGGCTAAGGAGGAAATGGAACCAACTAGGCACGATTCCAAAATAAGCTTACATCTGAGAAGCCTGTGTTATACGAAATGAAGGGGTTGTCAGGGTCTGAAAACCAACAAGACTGTGTGGAATCTGCAAACCATGCCAGGACTTAGGTGTCAGAGTGTGTTAGGGGTTGGGGGACCACTCTGGGTTTGCACAACCCCTGCCTGATGGACCATGAAACGGGAACTGGCTGTGTGACGGTGACAGCCTCCTCTGGTGTTGGTATTGCCCTTGGGGTTGCTATGGAAAGGTTGCTAGGATAGGACACTGGCAGTTCTTACCGAGAGCACACTTTCTGCCCAGCAATCCTTCATTATTTTTTTAAAATTGTATCAACGCTCTTAAATTATAAATACTGTTTTTCCCATTTTACAGATGGAAAAACTGAGAGCCAAGCTAAGGAATTATACTAATGAGCTCCCTTTGGTGGCTTAGACACATCAGCTTCATTCCAGGGCTGCAGGAGCAGGTCACCCTATCATTTTCTAACTGCCCCTGGCCTCTCCTCTGCCAGATGCAGAGAAGGAAGTAACCCCCCAGGGTGGAGAGGTGGTTGGCTGAGGCCAGTTGAAGGGCTGGGCTTAGAGCTCCTTGCTTCTCAACTCCAGCTGACTAAAGGCCTGGAGTGGGGATGGAGCCCCCAAAGTCTATGGTGTCTTTCCACAGTGAAAATTCCGAAGGCCCCTCCCAACCTGGGATTAGTGGGAAGGGCGGGAGGCCCACCTCCTGAAGGCCCAAGCTGTTTCCAGCTATGAATCATTGTTTTTATTGGGCACTGGCTGTCTAGGAGAGAGGGGGTAGGGCAGGCAGGACCAGTTTTCAGAACCACAACAGACCCAAGTTCAAGCTCTTGCGTCTGCCTTAGCTGGGGAGGTGACCAGTCATGCCTGAGCCCTGGGTCTATCAAAGGTGCACACTTGTTCCCCTCCCTTCCCCTCCCAGCTTGGAGATCTGGGCCAATGGACAGAACCTGGCTAAGCCTTAGTGTGTCAAACACAAGTAGTGAGAAGTCCTTTGTAGGGATGTCATGAGGCTCAATGGAGTAGCGTGTGCTGGATCGCCGAATGGAGTAGTGTGTGCTGGATCGCCGAGGCCAGTCCCCCTTCTCACTACTTCCACCATACTCCACCATTTTGCATCACGAAAAATGACGGTGACATGCACACCCCACATGAGCTTTTTACGACTCAGAGTTAACATGACGTCATGCTGACAGCGTGCCCGACTGTGTTCTGCAGAAGGTATTGGACCGTGCAGTAGTCCTGTGGGCAGCAAGTGGCTTTAGGTGTCCTTTCTACTGCTCCACTTGGTCTGCCTGCTCAGGAAAACTATAGTTGTAAGTGAGCAATGGCGAGGTTAGCAGCAGTTCTCTATAAAATTTTTTAAGGAAGGAAAAAAAAGAGGAAGGGAGAGGAATAAAGAAATGAAGGAAGAAAAGACAGAGGGGAGAGAGGAAGGAAGGGGAGAATGGAGGGAGGGAGGAAGGCAGGCAGGAAGAAAGGAAGGCTGGTTTGGGTAACTTCCTATACGTTATAAAGCTAGTGATTGGCCCACACCAGTTGGGCGTTTTAGTCATGGAAACTGAGAATAGTTTTGCCCTGAATGAACTTTAGCAACAAAAGTCTTAAAAGGATTAACCTGTGCTCATAAGGACTCCCGCCTCCTTGTCTGACGTATAAAGTCTCTCTCCTACAAATGTGTCATAGGGCAGGAACAGGTCTGTCTCACTTCCTGCTGCATCTCCATTACCCCACAAGTAAAGTCTTTGAAAAACGCTTGCTGAGAGAGACAAATAAATAGCAATTAGGGCAAAAGGACACATCAGAAAAAAAGACAGTGAAAAAGATGAGCGAGTGGTTCTCTTTCGGTTCCAAATTGGAGATCTGGCTGTGGACATCTGTTCAGTGATTGTATCAGTCGTAAGTGCGACTAGTCTGCAGTAACAAATGGCCCCCCACTTTAGAATTACAAATAACAAACATTTATTTCTTGCTCATGCTTGGTGTCCATCGTGTTTCTGGTGGTGTGATCAGTGGGGTTGCTTTGGTTCTTATAATAACTCAAGAACTCAGCTGGAGGCCTTAGTCAATGGAGCACTGGCTTTTACACCGTTCATCTGGAACGAGTGTGCACCACCTCTGCTCACATTTTGTCAACCAAGACAAGTCACACGGCCATGCATGACATCAAGGGGAGCAGAGGAATGCAATTCCACCTTCCTTCTTGGCGGGGACCATTCTAGAACCAGTCAGTAAATAGCATCAATGAAAACCCCAGTGCTTAAGTATTCTTTATTTAGATGCACATACTTTATAATCAAATATTTTAGGGAAATACAGCTATCTGGCTTCTTTGCAGAGAACTGGGTGATCTGGCAGTGGTGACCATTGACACCAAGCTGTAGCTGTCCTTCAGAAGGAGCATGAGATCATGAGTTGTCACTGGCCCCACCTGGCACACTTCACTCACTTTGGTTTGGTGCCTGGCTCCTCCAAGCATTTGAGGTGCAGACTTCTGGGTGAAAAAGATGAAAGCAGCCACTCCAGGCTTGCTTAGGCATTTTGTTCCCAACACCAGATGCACTTGTAATCTGTTCCCATCCCAGGAATGAGTAAGTTAATGCCCTCTAAGTGCCTTCCACAGACCAGGGATCCAGCGGTTGGCAACAGTGGGATTGTGTGAACCCACAAAGGGTGTATTTAAAGGATTCATGAAAGGGAAGGAGGGAGTGTGGGTATGTAGGAGGCACTGCAGAGCCCTGCCCTGCTGAGGGATGCCCAGGCTAGTGGGGGCGAAGCAGGCAGCTGCTTTCTTGGAGAGTCTGTTTGTCTTATCTGAGCTGCTACTCGATACACAATCCCTCTGGATTCCCAGCATCACTGTCTGGCAGAAGCATGGGGACCTTCCTGTGTGACCAGCAGATTGGTTTGCAATGAAGTTTTGATCTTCATTGTGACTTAACACCGGTAGGATGTGGAAGGTATCAGAATAGATTTGGTCCCAATGCAGCAACAAGGAAACCCCAAATTTCAGTGACTTCAAACAGCTAGAGGTTATTACTCTGCACCCTTCACTCACTCCATGTGTCACTCTTGGACCAGCAGCATGACTCTAGTCATCACAGTCACTCAGGCTCCTAGGATAAAGGATGAGCCACCATCTGACCTAGAGCAGAAGAGTTCTGATGGGCGTCCCAAGGTCAGCTAAGGTACTTACCATAAATGACACATTCCTTCCACTCTCTTCTCTGTCTGAAATAGTCATATGCCCCACCAAGAGTCAGGTAGCCAGGACATTCTGAGGCCAAGATAATTGGGGAAAAAAAAATTAGTGAATGTCCACTAAAAAATTAGTCCATAGAGGAGACTATTGTTTTTATAAATGTTATCTTATAAACATAGACCACTGGAAAGGCTTCAGTGCTGCTAATAATTCCATACGCCAACCTTCAGGGCCACAGGGCCTTTGCACTTGCTCTTCCCTTTGCCTGTGCTGTTTGGTTTGCTTCACCTCAGCTTATTGTCACTGTCATGCAGAGTCCTCTTTGGACCCTCTTTGTGGGACCCTCTAAATCCCCAGATCCACAGTGCATCATGTTTGAAAACCTCCCTTCCTCTTATCATTGTCCAGTATGGTCTTTTTAGAAGACGTTATGTTCAAGTTTGTATTTACTTCCTATCTTTGTTCAGTCTAGGATACAAACCATCAGAGCAGGCCCTTTGCTCTCCTTCACAGCTGTATCATTGCCATCTTGAACAGTGGACATCTCCAGTTGGCGCTCAATAAACTTGTGGGAAATATATGTATATGTCAAGTGAAATATCCATGACTGTCATGGGGGGAAGATATCCTGTGTGCAGCTGGTACCCCTGTTCACCACCTCCTCACCCCGTTGCCGGGTAGGCACTGGGATCAGCCCCCTTCTGCAGAGAAGACGGAAACTCAAGAGGTAACATGACTTGCTTGAAGTCAGAACTTAGCGATGGCCAAGTCAAGATTTCTACCAGGGTTTTCCAAAGTCTACACCATTTCTACTGGGAGACACTGGCCCCACAGGGCAGTTATAGGGCCCCCTGGGGTATGGCATGGGGACAAATGGATGAGTACTCATTCATGAGCCTTATTCTCAATAGAACACCACTGGGTTAGCCTAGGTTTTAGTGATTCCCCTTCATAATCTTTAATGTCTGATTTTGCTATCTAATATTTGCAGTGGGTTGAATGGTAGTCCCCAAATACATTCATGTCCTAATGCCAAAGAGCTCCATGGGGAAAGGGTCTTAGCAGACGTACTTCAAGTTACGATGTCAAAATGAGGTCATCCTGGGTTTCCCAGGTGGGCCCTGCACCCAGTGACAAGTGTCCTTATAAGAGACAGAAGAGAAGACACAGACACAGGGAGAAAGACGTGAAAATGGTGGCAGTAGTTAGAGTTACATTGCCATAAGCCAAGGAAGGCAGCTACCAGATACCTGAAAGGCAAGAGAAGGTTCTTTGGGAGAGCTGTCAGACAAGTACAGAGCTGTTCACACCTGAATTTTTGGACTTCTGGCCTCTAGACCATAACAGAGTAATTTTTGCTATTGTGACATTTTGCTACAGCAACCACGGGAAACAGACACACAGCGCTCATACCTAGGACATTTTAAGTTGTGAATGAGCTGCTGCTTACTACATACGGGGTGAGGGGTGAGGGGTGGACTGAAACCTTCGGCACCCTGTGGAGACCCCTCCCCTGGGCCATTCCACCTTTGTCATACCCCCTCCCCCTTCCACAGCTCTCATCCATCCATGGTGGAGAATTCAAGTTCTCAGAGAACCAAATAATAATAGTGATGATGATGATGATGAAGGAGTAGAAGGAGGAGGAGGGGGAGGGAGAGAAGGAGAAGAAGTTGAAACTGTATCTTTGGGGTACCAGATTGGGTACCCAAGGTCCTCACCCATCTCCTTAGTTGGCCCAACCCATGTCTGACTTCATGTGCCTCTATCAGAGCCACAACTAACAATGAACTTGGCCTTTGCGCACCATAAAGCTTTTGCTAACCTTCCCCAAAAGTTGGGATGCAGTCCTGCCCAAGTGTTTAGCTCCCTGAGTAGCATTTCAGAATACAAGTGACATCGAAGAGACTTTGTCAATGGAAATTGCTTCAAATGCCAGCCCTGCCACCCACCAAGTCTCAGTTTCCTCTTCTTGGAAATGGGCACGTTAACAACTTCACGAAGTTTAAATGAAAAAGATGCAAGGCTTGGAGCAGAATGACGACACTTAATAACCCCAGCAATCGTTGGCTTGCAGGACCAACCTAGAATTATTGAAGAACTGCATAAACTCATCCAGTTCTGTGAAGTTGGGTACACTTGCTGTGCTGTGGGAACGCATAGCTAGGTGGAAACAGGGTGCACTCGGGAAGACGGGGCTGGGCACAGTGCCACTCCCCTTAAAATGCGGTTAGTTTGGGTTGACAGGTCCTGCTAACCAAAGGCTAAGAGCCTGGCTGAAATACCCCTAGTGGCCTCCAGTTTTGTTAGGAGTGGGAGAAAAAAAGTCTAGTTTGGTTTAAAAAAGGGGGGGGATGGGACTACACTTAGATCAAGCCCCACAAGGGGCACAGTAAGAGTAAAAAAAAAATAGTTCCACATTTCTGTTTAACAAACCAGATGGCAAGAAATGTAAAATCAAACCCATTACGAGAAGACAGAAGAAATACAGAGCAATGACCGTTTTCATCTACGCATGGCATGATGTCAATGAAAATGTGAATTACAGTCCCCAAAAGGAAGATCTTTCACCAAGACATGTCTTTGGTTACACGGTTCAACATTCTTGTTTGGCCCCAACACCAGGAGAAAATTCATGTGACAAGTTAGTGTCTTGATCAGTCTTTGAAATGGAATGTCTGAACCCAAAAGGCCCTCTTCTCTCAGTCATTTAAAGAAACATACTAATTGGTGAATTGGTCTTTTCTCTGCATTCCAGCTGCCATCTGCCATCGTCCCTTGGAAAAGGATTTCTCTAGAATGTCCCCAACTGGGAGCAATGCTGTCAGTGCCCCTACTTCTCTTCTTTCCCTGGAGGTATGCATTCGGCATGTGTAAGGTCCATTTAGTGACTTTTTCTTAATAAAGTCCTCAACACATGGCAACCTCAATCCTAAGCATCCTTCTTCACTGTCCTGATTGGTCCATAAGTGACCCCTAAACCCAATTAACCTGCATTCCCATCCCTCATCCCCCCCACCCTGGGGACATCCCCCCTGGGCTCCCTGCATCTCCCCACTCCTCTTCCCTCCAGTCTGGGACGACCTCTCTGGAGAAACTCTCACCCCGTAATCACCGGTGCCCCCGCCAGCCAGCTCCGCCTGAATGATGGGGTGTGTTTTTCATTTGAAATGAGTTCACATCTGGGACTCACTTAACTTGATTTGGAAGTCCTGTGTTTCTGATCCAAAAACACATAACCAAACAAAAATTGTGAAAATAAGCCTGGTTTGTTCTTCTTCTGGTGGGGATAGATTTTATTTCCATACGATTCAGCTTGCAAGGAAGAGACAGAAGAGGAGAAAAGAAAGAGACAGCAGGGATGGGGGGAAGGTGGAATGGGGAGAGAGAGGGGGGAGAGAGAAGGAGAGAGGAAGAGAAAGAGAGAGGGAGAGAGGGAGGGAGACAGAAAGAGGAAGAGAAGGAGGGAGAGAGAGGAAAGGAGGGAGAGAGAGGGGGGAGGGAGAGAGAGAGGGAGAGAGAGGGGGAGGTGGAATGAGGTGAGAGAAGGATGAGAGGGAAAGAAAGAGAAAGGGAGAGAGGGAGAGAGGAGAAAGGGAGAGAGGGAGGAGGGAGGGAAGGAGGGAGAAAGAGAGAGATAGAGAGAAAGAGGGAGGGAGAGAGAGGGAGGGGGGAGAGAGAAAGACAGAGAGAGAGACAGACAGACAGACAGAAAAATGAACACTGAGTGGACTTGGCTTCCTGACTGCCTGTTCGCGTTGGGTGACTGAGCTTTCCATCCAGACCTAGTTGAATTGTTCCACTTCCACCGAGACCAAGCTGGAGACAGGATAGAATCTCCCTCCAGGTTGCTGTTTCTTTGGGTTTCCTGCCCAGAAAAATGGCTCAGGCAGAAAGGGAGATATTAGAAACCACAAAGAAGCCAAATCCACTCATGGAGTTGGAGTGGATGTGGCTGGCTTGAGTCACTGCACTGAAAAGTCACAACTTCATTCACTAGTACTATGGAGACTTTGAAGATATGTGGGCAGAGAAAATACGCAATGAACCCTTGCTCCTAAACTTCCTGACTTGGGCACATTGGTGATAGGCCCAATATTTAAAAATCCTAGCAAAAAAAAAAAAATCAGATGTATGTGCAGGTGATGAATGTCTGCATATTAAAAATTTGTATTTTCTACGAATTGTATATCATGATTTTTTTTAAAAATAGCTGAATCTACTACTTAAAACTTTATCTACTTTACAAATCCATGACTGATACCTATTCTTTAACTACAGTTTTTAATAGCTAAGTCTTCTACTTAAAATTTCTTCCAAAATCATAAAATTACATAGAATTTTCCAAAAATGAGTGATACATATTTTTAGTATAATTTTCTAAGTAAGTACTTTGAAAATTCTCCTTAAACTTTTTTTAAAAATCAAGTGATGTGCTGGGAACTGGTGGCTCACACCTGTAATCCCATCTACTCAGGAGGCAGAGATCAGGAGGATCAAGGTTCAAAGCCAGCATGGGCAAATAGTTCATGAGACCCTATTTTGAAAAAAAGACTAGCAGAGTGACTCAGGTGGTAGAGCTCCTGCCTCACAAATGTGAGGCCCTGAGTTCAAGCCCCAGTGCCATTAAAAAAAAAAATCAAGTGATATATAGGAGTGTTTTTGGTTTTGTTTTTGAGACAGGGTCTTACTATGTAGCTAAGGTTGATCTGGAACCTGAGATCCTCCTGCTTCAGCCTCCTGAGTGCTGGGATTGCAGGTATGAGATACCATATCTAGCAATGCAGTTTTTAAAGAAATTTGCAGTATAGATGCATCTTTTAGCCAACAGTTGAGTTTAACTTTTAATTTAAAAACAGCCACAATAAAACTACCAGAGGAAAACCATACATGTGAGAAAAAGAACACAGACATACACTCATATATGTAGCACTTTTGAATATAACCTGCCCAAACTGTGCATGTCAAAATCCCCACTTCCCAGAAAATCACAAAGAGCTTTGGTTATTATGTTTATGCACCGCTATGGTGCACAATTGATATCACATTTTATTGTCATAGAATAGGGAGGGAGA